TAAAAAATTCTAATGATTTGCAGAAAATGTATTCAGATTTTTATTTTATAATTCTGTTATACTTGTACCACTTAAGCACTAGGAAATGACTGTATAGCTCATCAGCCAAATTTCTAGCAGAGATAATTTGGCTGTCTATAAGAGGAATAAACAAGATAATTGAAATGAGATAAAAGATAATTGAAAAAAGAATTCTCAGCAGCAGGAAATGTGGAAGTTGGCTTCCAAAATGGGAGGAAAGGTAATTCAAAGTGCCCACTGTTTATGCTGTATATATGGGGAAGGTTTAGGCTTTAAAGTACCCCAGACTAAAATAAGAAGGTAAAAAAATAAAAGCACACACACAAAATAAAAGAATAACTGGCTGATTTACTTAACATACTGAAACAGAATATCTTTCAGAGGTTGCCTATTATAAAATACAAAGTAAAAAAAATACAGAGTAAAAACTCCAAAACAAACAATTAGAGGGCTAACTGAAACAAATGTACATAAAATATTAATTGTATTAAGTAACATTTACATTGAAGAATGTAGCTACATTTTGAGCCTCAGGACAAGAATGAAGTCTAGAATCCAGTCAGGTCTCTAGTCATCGTGATGTCTGAACACAAAATGAGACAAACAGAAATGAATATGAGTCAATCCACACAATACTGTTGGAGAAACATGGGACCTTTGACCCAGAATTTCAAAACTGGGATGATGTTGATACTGCCAGTGCTGAGCTAGTACTTGTTAGGCTTCAGCAGCCTGAATATCTGGGGACTTGCTCTCCTAAACTTGAGTGAAAGAAGGGATACTCTGCTCTCCACATTGAGGCAGGTGCTGCTCTTAGTATTTTAATAGATCAAAATTCAGGCTTTCTTGATAAGAGAGTAAGACTGAGAATGACCTGACATTAGTCAGCAGGGAGTCTCATGATCTTTGGAAAGAAGTGAAGACTGAGGAACTTGGGCTCTAGAGCCTCTGCTGTCTTCAGTCACATTATCTATCCTTTAAATTCTAATCTCAAAGGCTCATCATACCACAGAAAAGCCTGGTCTGTCAAAAGCATCTGAGGGTTTTCTGGTTTCCTCTGGAAATTAGTTTCTGAATTAGGAACTTAATATAGCTATGTAGCTGGAAGAGAGCATTTAAATTATTCCGGTTTATGGCGGTAGAACTAATGAGGAGTTATAGCAATTTGTCTGGAACAGTAACTATCTGTTAAGTATGCATGGAGGTACATATAACAAAGGCATTTAAAATGAATGAAACAAATTTTGGTGTGTATTCTATATTAATAAAGAATTTTTGCCATAACTTTTAAATTAATTATTTCATGACAAGATCCAAAATTATTTCAATTTAAGTGGGAGAATTGTTTTTTTAATTTAGATATCTGTAACTCCTGCAGCAAAAAGGATTTGGAATGGAGAGAACATATTAATTAGAAAACTGCCTTGTGATACAATGAAGAGGAAAGTAGCTGTTTGAGGAAACTAAAGCTTCTCCACCCCATGAACTTTTACATACCCCAGAGCAATATGACAGAATAAATAAAGAGTCAGAAACGAAGGATGATTATGCTTGTTTCAGTGGTGTTGTCGCCTTTGGCTTTTCTTATCACAACGTTCAACATCCCAACATCTCAATGTGATCTTTCTACTTTACTTTAAATGAAATGTCTTTTGTTCTCAATCAGTTCAGATATGCTTACAGTCACACTGACATCAGTATTTCATAGTGATGACACAGGGTTACTTTAGAAGAGTGGTCTTTATCATTTAGTTTATTAAAACACACACCTGTATATCCAGCTGTGTAACCAAACAAATATTTATTTTATTTAAGTATTCCATTTTAGAAATATATTTTGAGGTTAAACTTAATATAAGAATGCATGATATATTTATATGAACAATACTGGATATTGATTAGCTTTTCGTATTATTTTAATCTATACTAATTTTTTTTAAAAAAACACTCTTTTCCCAAGTTGTTATTGCCTAAAAGAGATTATCATTGACCATGTTTGTCTCTTCAGATAAATTTGCAAAGAAAAATGAGAGTTACTGGTGTGATTACCCAAGGAGCAAAAAGGATTGGGAGTCCAGAATACATAAAATCCTACAAAATTGCCTACAGCAATGATGGGAAGACCTGGGCAATGTACAAAGTGAAAGGCACCACTGAAGATATGGTAAGACTAACCCACCCCTCATAATTTTATTACAACCCATGATGATCACTGATTGTCATGTGACACCTGAGCCTTTTGGAAGAGTCTTATGCTCAAAATACATTTCTGAAACATTTTGGTTTTAATTGGGTAGCAGAGGGAGCATATATTTCTATGTTATGAATATAGAAATTTATAACAACTCCCACTTAAGATTTTCCAGATTTTAATTGGTGGTCCTACAAATACTTTGTCACAAAGCTGGCAGATTCTTGTGCATAAAGATTAAGATCTACTTTAAGGACAATTTCCATTTCATTGTCTTTGCTGTTTCTATTCAGCACTCCCCTTCACCAAATTAATCAAGTTAAAAACTAACAGAGCCATGCTTGGTGACATGTACCTTGAATCCTAGCACTTTGGAGGCAGAAGGATCATTGTGAGATCAAGGCCACTCTGGTCTACAAAGTGAGTTCCAGGCCAGTTGAGAATACAGGGGACACTGTATCAAAAAAAAAGTGCAAAACAAGCAGAATGCCAGTGGTAGCAATGATGTATATCTTCATGTATTGGAAAATGTATTTGTTATTTATGAAGATAAAATATTTTAGATAAATGGGTATAACATCTATATCTCCTTTTCTTTTTCCTTTGATGTTCAATTTTTAAGTTATTTTTCATTTGATAATAGCATTAGAATTATGATCAGGAAGCACAGAGGGAATGGTTGTTACCAAAAACAAAGTTGAAATATTTGTTTGTAAAGTGAACAGACCCAGATTAATATGAAGAATTTCTGATGAAGTCAGATTTTATATTTGGCTCATGTGCCCATCACTGGGTGTTTCTAAATTCCCCAAGCCCCCAAATTACTTATAATCTTTTAAGAATTCTATTGAGTAAGGCATGGGGTACATGAAGATAACTAAAGAAGCTATTGCAATTAATGTTTATTTTTTTTCATTGGTGGGTCAGGTCTCTGTAGCCTAGGCTAGTTTTGAATTCATGGTCAGCCTATTGTCTGAGCCTCTCAAATACTGGTATTACAGTCATGAGCCATGATGTCCAGCTTTTTAAATGCACTATATATCTTTACACAGGTGTTCCGTGGAAATGTTGATAACAACACACCCTATGCTAACTCTTTCACACCCCCAATCAAAGCTCAGTATGTCCGACTCTATCCCCAAGTTTGTCGAAGGCATTGCACTCTGAGAATGGAACTTCTTGGCTGTGAACTTTCAGGTGAGTTTCCTATTTTCTATTACGGCACTGTGTTTAAAGGAAGCAGAAACTTTTTTATGTGGTCTGCTACTAAATTATAGCTTCTTTAACAGTCAGAGAAATTCACTTACATTACAAAATATATAGGACACAGTTCAATGAGAAACAGCACATTGTTTACATGTGTGTAGAATAAACAAGTTGTAAATTGTGACCGAGAATTAATGTAGAAGAACAATGTACTCTTTTTGAGTGGACAAGAAAATACAGGGGATTCTTATGAGAAGTTATTGTCAAATTTAAATGTGCATCATTGTTTTTGATAATAAATATGACTTCTGTTTGGTGATGAAAGTTTAGTATAAACTAGAATTTTCTTGACTTCATAATCTGTATAAATTTAGACTGTATGATCCGGAAAAAAAGTTAGCTTTATCTGTAAACTTGGATTTTGGGCGGCAGTTTATGAAACATGTAAATTTTTCATTCCTCCCTAAGGAACAATACTTCGGTACCAAGATTACTACTATCAATTCATTCTTATAACATTCTCAGCTAGCAACCTGCTTATTGTATAAATCATGGTTTTACAACTCAAGGTCAATCTATCAAAGGGCTCAGAGTTAAATAATTATTCTCCTGGAGGAACATCACTACAAGATCTAAGATGAAGCCTTAATGTGTAGATCTCTCCACGCTCCCATTTCTTTACAGCATTAATCTGAACTACACAGAAAATTCTCTCTGCTTATTCTATTTTGAGGAAGAGTTACTCTGTTTCTGACATCTTACCTGTTTTTGCCACAGTGACCCACAGTTTTCTTGTTCAAACAATTGTGAAGGAAGCTGAAAATTCATACGTCACATTTTAGCACAATCCAAATAGGGAAAACACTAGACAAAATGTACAATAATACCATCTTTTCAAAAAGTTAAGTTAGATATTAGACAATTTTGTACCTCGGCATAATACATTCTGATCATTCCCTTCCTTCATTCTCTCTTACCTCATCCCATCCCCATGAAACTCACACCCCCTACTTGACCTTTTCCTAGGTTCAAATTGTGGGATGGAGACAGCCATGAAATTTTAATTCATAGGTTAATGTTCATAATCTATATCTGTTTCTCTTATTTTTATTTGTGATATAGAAAGAGGGAAAAATTTTAAGCACATAAAAGGTGGTACTAAAAAAACCAAACAAATTCCTAATGATCCCATTACATTTAAAGAAAGGAGAGTAATTTTGTCAAATGAGTGGATCTACTATAAGGATGGCATTTGCATATTCTATTTTGGCATGTTTTATAAAGGAACATTTTTTACTGCATTAATTATCATGAGAGATGTTTTTATCTTATGTTGATCATTTGAACCAGCTTATTGACTGTCAGTAAATCTGAGCAGAGTTATTGCTGTAAAGTGTCTGTATTGCTTGTCACTATATCACCAGAGGCCAGTGTCATCCTAAGCCATTCATCATAAAGCAATCAAGAGGAAGCCACAGTATTATAAGGTCTGCAGTAAGCCCTGTGGTTTTTAGTTGCTTAACATCACCTTCCTCAATTGTTCAGTCTTTTGATTCATGAGGATCAGCCTCTGATAAATGACACAGCTACACCCCTAAGGTATAAATATATTTTGCTTTCAAGCCTGACAAGAGGTTACACCTGACAGTTTACAGATTTTATTTTCTCAAAAAGAATCAGTGTTCTATCTCCCAACCCCACAAATTGATTTTGAACTTGCAGGCAGAGAATGATATCTCTTGGTGGTTGTTTTTAAAGGCTAGAGAATTTCACCACAGAAATAAGCAATGTCCATGTTAATACCCCATTAGTTTTCAGTTTCTGCTCATACTGGTAAAAGAGCTAATTAACTTGTATTCCTGAAATCATATGAATAAGAAGTGAAATTTGTGATGTAAAGTCCATTGATAAAGAATATAGCTGTGTTTCTTGATGGGGACTAGAGAGCAGGTTCACCAGTTAAGAGAACTGACTTGCAGAGGACCCAGGTTTGATTCCCAGCATCCACATGGTGGCTACCAACTACCTGTAACTCCAGTTCCAGAGTATCAGACATCCTCTTCTGTCCTCCAAGGCACTACAAATCAGTGGACTTACACACATTAAGATATAATATTCACACAAATAAAAATAAAAATTAAATGAAAGAATCTAGCTGTATTTTTAAAAGAAACACTGGCATAATATTTTGTAGTATTCCAATGATTTCCTACAATTGAATGCAACATTGTAAAGCCTGGGTCTGCCTTATTGCTTTCATCAGACCATTTTCAAATAGGCCCCTATTTTTTTTTAATTTTTGAGAATTTCATACAGGAGTATTGTAAATATTTGCATTATTTCTAACCTTTCCAGTCCCATTCCAACTCACCACTTCTTCTCAATTTCTCATCTTCTTTGATTATAATTAAGTATCTATTCTGTGCTGAGTCCATTTATGAATTTATGTATGCCTGTGTTTAGGAATGCCTACTCTAGAATAAATAACTTCTCAGTGAGTTAGTCCTTGGAGAAAACCTATTCTCTCTCATCATTCACTGATTGCCTATAGCTCTTCACTTTGAAGTGAGACCCCATGAAGTCTCCCCCATCCACCTTGGCATGTCAACTGGTCTTGTCATTATGTAGATTTTGTTATATTACCATACTGTGGAAATTTCACTGGTGTACCTTCTCTATAATGTCTAGAATGCAATAACTTTCCAGAGGTGTCTTGTCACTCTGGCTTTTAAGTTTTTTCACCTCCTCTTCCACAATGTTCCCTGAGTCTTAAAACGTTGGATTGTACACTTACCACTGATGGCACAGCATCTCACAGTCACTTGTTGTCTATATTTTTACCAGTTGTGGAACTTTGCAATAGTCTCCACCTATTGCAAAAAGAACTTTCTTTGATAGGTGGTGAGAGGTAAACTTGTCTGTAAATATAAACATACATATTTAAAATATAGTTAGAGATTAAGTTGATCTATAGTGACAGAGGTGTGTTCTTCTTTAGGGTTTACTATCATAAGATCTTTAATCCTTCCTAGAATCATTTAATCTCTTCCCAGTCACTTGAAAATAACATTTTTTTAGATTTTCTAAAAGATGACTTACAATGTATGGAAGAAATAAATCATTATAATAATTAAAGAAATAAAACTCATTCACCCATTCTTTGAACAAATAATTATTTATTACTTCTTCTTACCTAAGTACTAGGCAAGAGAGTAATTATGAGGTCAATTTTATGATGAAGGAGAAAAGATCTAAAATATTTCTTCCTTATCAAATCCTTAAAATACTGTATCACCACAGGGAAAAATCACTATCATTATATCAACCTCTTCCGCAAGCTAAGCAAAGTTTTGCAAACACTTGGCCTATATCAGAGGCTGAGGGAAGGATCCAAATAGAGAATTCAGAAGTTCGTCATGTAGACAATGCATCCTACTTTGGAGCAGGTCATTATGGTTGCTAGACCTTTCTAAAAATTTTAATATTTGTTACAACAGTTTTTTTTACTCAGAATTTACAGTTACAGATTATCATTGGTCTTAGGATATATGTTTCCTCAGTAAGACTATGGCCAAGACAACAGCCTTTGTTTTGCCTGCAAGGTCTGTAGGCAAAGTAAAGATGAGGACTTTATAGAGGAGTCTCAAGATGAACATGACACATTGAAAACAGAAGAAATCAATTGTGCTAATATTATTGGTGAAGAGTTCTATCTGACCTCTCCCAGAGCCTACACATAAATCACCTATATTTAGTAACAGTACCCAGTCATAGATACTATTTGGTACTTACTGATATTCTTAGATTAAGAAATTTAACATTGTTCTCTGTTGGAAAGAATCTTATGGAAATAATGAAAAGTTAGCTCTTATTGCATGCCCATTGTGTCAGTAATCTATCTATGCACTTTATATTTATTAACAAACTTTGTAGAGTATTTCTCCAAGGTAGTTTCTATTATTATCACCATTTTAGAGATTAGAAAAATGAAGCAGAAAGTGGTTAAATAGCAAGTCAAGAACCACACAGCCAGTGAGTGAAGGAACAATTGAACATGGGAAGAAGATATCTGGTTGGAGAAATCTACTCACTTGTCTTTGCCCTATGATGCTCTCACTCACCTTGCCACTATCTTGGCCAAAATGTAATTATTTTATGCAAGAAAAGCTTGGTCATTGGCTAATATGATTATAGAATCATGTTTCCTATACAAAACACGTAAGTGTTTAGTGTACATACAAATTACATTTTCAATTCCAGACAAACCCAAATTTGGTACCACATAAAATTTGAAAGTGCATGTGGTAAATTTGAGAGTATTTCAAGGTTATTAAAGCACTAGATGCTATTGAGTATTAAATAAAATAATTTACAAAAAGATAAGTTCATATTGGTTTTTGTTAGTTTGCTTATATTGTTCTGGCATATCATCTATTTTATTTCTAAAGTCCATGGCTGCATAATCCCTGACACATATTATATACTGAGTAAATATGATCTCCATACCTCCTAGAAGAAGCTATATTGGTGCAATATGAATAAATAATACTATTTAATAATTGTTGATTACACATTGCTAGATGTGATGGCACATGCCTGTCGTCCCAGAACTCAAAGGCTGTGTGAGGAGGACTGTAAATGTCTGAGGCCAGCCTGGCAACAGTGTGAGACCCTGTCTCTGAAAAATAAAAGATTAGAACATATATCTTGGACAAAAAATTCTGTCCCATTTAGAATATGACTGTAGAGCAGTTTGTGAAAAGGACCGTGTACTGTGGGAATTTTCGTCAGCAATATTATGAAAACAAATAAAAGAAAACTAAATATAGTTCATGAGAAAATGTACCATTTTCAAAAACACAATGAAATTGTTGCAAACTAGGGAACAGTCATGAGGCTTCCCATAATGAGACAGGAGCAAGTATTTCAGCAATGTTTTCATTTTGCAAATTCATCTATCACAGAAAAGTAGTCTGAATTGTCTTTCTTGTTTTCAATTTTTCCAAAATATATTCATATAGAATAGCCTGAATTGGCTATCTTGTTTTTCTATTTTATTCTAGATATATTTCTGATTGTAGCCCCCCTTTTTTGAATTTAGGTGTTCTCTCTTTGGGGGAATGAATGGTATTGTGTATAATCTCTCTTGCCTATCTGAAATGAACAAGGAAAAGTTCCACAATATTCAATTGCTTTCTTCATGGAGCTCTTCTTGTTTTCTCCCAGGCTGCTCAGAGCCTTTGGGGATGAAATCGGGGCATATACAGGATTATCAGATCACTGCCTCCAGCATCTTCAGAACCCTCAACATGGACATGTTCACTTGGGAACCAAGGAAGGCCAGACTGGACAAGCAAGGCAAAGTTAATGCCTGGACATCTGGCCACAATGACCAGTCACAGTGGTTACAGGTAATGGTGCCACAGTTGTTCCACTCCCACCACTCATCTGTCTTTAGAGATTTCCTGGTGGCTAAGTGAACACCAGACTCATTACTTTTTAAAGAATTTTTATTTATTTTTAATTTATGTGTATGAGATTTAGGCCTACATGTGTGTAAGTGCACCGTGTTGTGCAGTGCTTGCAGAAAACAGAAGAGGGTGTCAGATTCCCTGGAACTGGAGTTACAGACAGTTGTTAGCCACCATGTGGGTTCTGGGATTCACACCCAGGTCTTCTGCAAGAACAGTCAGGTCTTTTAACCTCTGAGCCAACTCTCCAACCCCCAGAGTCATTTGTTACACTGTCTTTTGTTTTTGTTTTCCATTTTTTATTGAATTTTCGCTATTTTCACACAATATATTTGATGGTACTTAGATCCCTTCAACTATCTCACCTCTCCTTATTGCCCCCAACAATTAATATGTTCTATCATACATATAATAACACCTA